TAGCAGTTGTATTGAAATTATGTCTGCCCTGCAACACATGATCAAGTCGTCTGCAAAACATATATGAGAGATCTTCATCCTGGCACACCTTGGATGGTAATTGAACTCTGGGATGTATTCAAGGGTCTTCAAACTCCAATTGAGATATTCCATTACCAACACAAACAAATAGGGTGACATTGGATCCCCCTATCTCAATCCTCTTTTTGCCTGAAATTTAAGTGCCATACCTCCATTAAGCAACAAAGAGTAGCTAACAGTCGTGACACACACCATTATCAAATGGACAAACTTTGTAGGGATTCCATACTCTAACAGCACCATCTTTAGGAATGGCCATTCCACTTAATCATATGCTTTTCTTATATCCACCTTTATCAGACATCTTGATGACACACTTTTTTGTGTGTATCCTTTGACTAATTCATGGGCAAGTATGACATTGTCTAATATATTTCTCCATTCAATGAATGCAGATTGTGTAGGCCCTACTATATAACCCACCACTATTTTTAGTCTCACTGTTAGGATCTTGGCTATCACTTTGTATAGAGTGGTGCAACATGCTATAGGTCGATACTCTTTAACATAAGTAGGGCTTGTTACTTTTGGCACCAAAGTAACAGTTGTACAGTTCACACTTTTTAACATTTGTCCATTTGTGAAGAACTCAAGAAATGCCTTTGTAACCTCTGTTTCTACAGTATCCTAGTGTTGTTTAAAAACTTTAGCTGGGTAGCCATCGATGCCAGGGGCTTTGTCATTGGGAAGCTCTTTGATTATCTAATAAACTTCTTATTTTTTGACCTGCTGAAGCACCCCATGCTGTTATTCTTTGATCAGGCATGGTCCAAGTTTCACAATGTTGACATCCAAACATGGTAGTTCATCTGCACACTTCACCAATAGAGCTTGAGAGAAATGCACAAACTATCATTCAACAAGCTTAGGTTCAGTGAGTCTTACCCCTTGGTCATTACATATAGAAGCCATTCTGTTTCTAGCTTGCCTGGCTTTCATTTGATCATGGAAGAATTTTGAGTTAGTGTCCCCAGCTTGAACCCAAGTGGCTCGAGTCTTCTGTCTTAACACTTGTTCATGTACTCCTTCCCATTTCTCTATCTGTATTAAGAGCTCATTTTCCTTAGTGATCAGTTGATTGTTGAACATGTCTCTACTCAGATCTTCTTGTACTCATTTTAATTCATCTCTCATTAGATTCAGATTTCTTTCCAAAGAGGAGAATTATCTATTCAAATGTTTAGTACTTTGTTCCATCAATTGCAATTTCCTCCATACTGAGTACATGGCATATCCAGCTATGGGCTGTCCCCAAGTCTGTTGTTATCACGACCCAAAATTTTTCACCGATGGGACCGTGATGGCACCTAATATTTTACTTGCTAGGCAAGCCAACGTTAGAGAATCATTAAACCAACTCCTTATTTTCATTCAGTAATTAACAATAATTAACTAAGATGATATATAATAAGTGCGGAATATCATAAAATTGTATTAATTACTACCACCCGGATCTGGAGTCACAATTCACAAGCATTCTAGAATTTATTACAAGTAATAGTCTGAAAGAAATACAATTGTCTGAATGAAAGAAAACAGTAGGGCATAAAAGATAGACGGGGACTTCAAGGTCTGTGAGTGCCGAAAGATCTACCTTGAGTCTCCGGATAGTGGAATAATAACAAAACTTCGATCAACCTGAGCTGGTATCAAAATCTACACAGAAAGTGCAGAGTGCAGCATCAGTACAACCGACCCCATGTACTGGTAAGTGTCCAGCCTAACCTCGACGAAGTAGTGACGAGGCTAAGGCAAGGCACCTACAAATCAACATGTACAATTTAATAGTGTATATATAAATAACATAAATGAAGAACTAAACAGGAATTGTCGGGAGGGGAACATATTGAAGGGAATACAAGATAAGGAACTACAACAGAATGATCACCAAAGCAGTCAATATAACATGAATCAACATAAATAATGAATACAGTAAGGAAAAATGCACGGCATCACCCTTCGTGCTTTTACTCTCAATCTCACTATAAAATTAATAGAAATGGCACGGCATCACCCTTCGTGCATTAACTCGCATATCATGGCACGACATCACCCTTCGTGCATTAACACTCACAATATGGCATGGCATAACCCTTTTGTACATTAACACTCACAATATGGCACGTCATCACCCTTCGTGCATTAACACTCACAATATGGCACGGCATCACCCTTCGTGCATTAACACTCACAATATGACATGCCATCACCCTTCGTGCATTAACACTCATAATATGGAACGACATCACCTTTCGTGCATTAACACTCTTCCTTATTATAATGCAATGCATAAACAATAATAGGGAGATAGAATAACCAGTACCAACCTTAATTCAACATTTGGTTCCATAATATCAATCTCAACTTTGAAATAAAAACTCAATTATTACCAGAAAATCCGTAAACATTATAAGAACAATTAATTGAACAACACTAGTATAACACATAGCAATTTTGCATAAGAAAGAGACAATATAAGAAAAAACGGAGAAACATGGAAAACATATAAATTGGCGGCGCATAAGTACTCGTCACCTCACATATACGCCGCTCATATGGATTTCCAAAATCCCTAGTTTCTACCTAACCCCTAATTCTACCATGAAAACTCTAGATTTTAGGTTGAAACTTCAAGAAATATAATGGGTAATTGAAAGAAAATGGTTTAGAATCACTTACCAACACTTTGGGGAAGAAATGACTCTTGAAAAATTGCCTCACACTATTTGGTTTTTGAGAAAAATGAATTTTTGGCTATATCCTGTGTTTGGATTCTGTTAAAAGTGTTGGGCGACAGTGTTCATCGCGTTCGCGAGAGCACTGTCGCGTTCACGAAGAGTATAGGCTGCCAAGTCTTTGCGTTCGCGATACAGTGCTCGCGTTCGCGTAGGCTACCCTTCCCTGGTCTTTGCGCTCGCGAGACAGTATTCGCGTTCGCGATGAAGAAAATGTTGACTCCCCCTCCCAGTGCCTAACACTACGCGTTAGCGAAGGGTAACGCCCCAATCGCTTCGCGTTCCTGACCAAGCCTTCGCATTCGCAAAGAAAAAATCCCTGCCTCATCAGTTTACTCTTCGCATTCGCGAGAGGACCTTCGCGAACGCGAAGAAGGACATGCCAGAACCCAAACTTTGCAAAAAAAAACTAAATTTTTCCAAAGTCCAAAACATCGCATGGCCTATTCGAAACTCACCCGAGCCCTCGAGGCTCCAAACCAAACATGCACACAAGTCTAAAAATATCATACGGACCTGCTCGCACAATCAAATCGTCAAAATAACACCTAGAACTCTAAATTGAGCGCCAAATCAAATAAAATTCTCAAGAACACTTTAAAGTTCATATCTTCTCAACTGGAAGTCCGAATCACGTCAAATCAACTCTGTTTCTCACCAAATTTCACAGACAAGTCTTAAATATCATAATGAACTTGTACCGGGCTCCGAAACTAAAATACGAACCCGGTACTAATAATGCCAAACATCAATCAATTCTTAAAAATAAATAATTTCCAAATATTTTAATTTTCATCAAAAATTCAAAACTTGAGCTAGGGACCTCTGAATTCGATTTCGGGCATACGCCCACATCTCATAATTCGATATGGACCTACCGGGACAGTCAAAACATGGATCCGGACCTGTTTACCAAAACCGTTGATCGAAGTTAACTAAAATTAACTTTTAAGGTATAAATTCTTATTTTCATCAATTTTTAACATAAAAGCTTTCCGGAAACCTGTCCGGACTGCGCACGCAAATTGAGAAGGATAAAAAATAAAAATATTAAGGCTTAAGAGTGCAGATTCGAGTTCTAAAATATAAGATGACCTTTTTTGGGTCATCACAGTTGTACATCCTCCTTGAAAGCTTGTTGTTGCATTACCACATGTATCAATGTGAATGGTTTAGGCAATCTATGCTTAGCTCTATTAGTATTTAGGATGATTGGTGAATGGTCTGACACTCCAGAAAAGTCATAAAAGGCTTTAATGTTGTTATTTAGCATAAACCATTGAGGGTTCCCAAAAGCCCAATCAATGTTATTATATATTCTCGATGTTGCCTCTCTTTTGTTACAACATGACCATTGGCATCCCTTTCTATTCAATTGTCTCAATCCCACATCTATGACACAGTTTTGAAAATCCATTACTTCTGCTTGGTGGACTGGGTTCCCTTTCAATATATCATTAACTGACAGCATTGTGTTGAAATCTCCCATCATCAGCCACGGTTCAGTTATGTTGGTACTGGGACATCTCTACTGCTCCCATATGTCCTTCCTAGCTGAGTTGGTGTTGTAGTCATAGACAAAAGTCAACTCACAAGAAAAATTAGATCCTCTATCATTTACATGAGTGAACCATCTGGTAGTTGGCCATGGTTACTTATATAGACACCATATGAGCTTTCCAAAACACCCAGATTCTCCCCTTAGGTGCTGCAACATAGTTTGTAAATATAGTTCATTCACCTTCAAATGTTCTCCTTACTTTAGTCACCTTATTGTCTTTTACCTTTGTCTCAAGGCAGCCTATTATAGAGACTCTATTCTTAAGCAGAAAGGCCTTGAGTTCCTTCTGCTTAAAGGGCTTATTTATCCCTCTGATATTCCACGAGCGGACTATCATAAGAGAAACTTATCATAGGTACTAGCATTCTTTACTACTCCGTTGGTAGTATCTTTCGTTTGTATTCTCAAAGAGTTGAACATGTTCTGTCTAAGTAATTTTTCTACTTCTGTATCAGACATAGCTCCCTTCTGAGGCTTACTTCTTTGAGGTATTACTTTCAGTTTCTCCTTAGCTAATCTGCCTTGCTCACTAGTATCCACCCTATCATTTTTATCCACATGAATTAGACTTTCTTCAATCTATTGGGCTTCATGTACTAGTTGCTTAGGATCATTGCTAGTCTTTACTTTCCATTGTGCTGTTGGTTGTTATTTTTTCTGCTTTTGTCTTCTTCCTTTGCAATACTTTTCTTCTCCCTTATCAAGTTCAGGTTTATCATCAGACTCATGCTCCTTCTTGCAATTACCAGTACTTGGCAATAAGAAGGCTTCCATTTATATTCTAACCTCTGCTCCTTACAACCCTTATTTTCATCTTCGATCAGTATAAAATTAGGAAGTAGTTGTGATATATCCATATCCACCAGAATTCTAGCATTGGAAATTCTATCTCCTTGTGTTGTTAACTTATCAGTACATACTGGTTTACCTAGATAGCTCGCGATTCTGCCCAAATTCTTAGTTACCCAATATTGTATCGGCAACCCAGGAAGGATTACCCATGTAGGAACAATACGATTGGACTCCTTACTAATGTCAAAATCGGGTACCCACTGCTTCAGCATCACAGGTCTATTATTAAACGTGTACGGTCCATACTTTAATACCTTCAATTTGTCTTCATCAGATTGAAATCGAAAGATAAAGTATTTGTCATCATGTAAATACACCTGTGGAGTATCCACAAAGTGCAAAACATCATAAACGAATTTCAGCATCTCCTTGAAGGAAGGTGAGCCAGCGAGTACATAGCCAATTAAGCTTGATTTCCACTTCCGGGTCTCTTCTTCTACTTCAATTTGATTGAGCCGAATCATCTTTACTCCATCTTTCATAACATGTGGGTAGTACTCGAGTTTCGATCCTTGTTGTAGGGATCGATTCCCTCGTACCACAAATGCTAAAGTATCCTTCGCTTCATGCGATTCAGCTGAAAATGTTAATTTCTGTGTTGCTGAAGTCGCATCAATATCCACTGGTTTTGGATTCCCATGCTCTTTCATCAAATCCTCTCTCGCCGAAGCTTGTAGTATTGTTGGGGCACTTCACATTCCTTGCATCCATTGGACCAATTGAGTTGGTTCTAGGGTTTGAGGAATCCCCGATTCCGGTGTAACCAACATATGTCCTGTATTCGTTATCGTATTTGCGTCTGCAACTGGGTCGTTGCGCCGTTTTCGCTGGTCATCAGGGTAGGCGTACGTTAGCGATTCCCTACGTAACGTGCTCCCTTGTGATTCCCTTAAAACAAGTTGAACCCCATATTACCTCCAATTCATGCTCCTAGCATTCTCGTCGCACAATGAGTATTATATCATGATTATTGATTTGTAATTTATTGCTTTTGGTTAGAAAAATAATTATACAATTATAAAGTACTATCCTATTAAACGTTTAATACCAAGGATATTAATTCCAATTCATATTAGGTCGTTTAGAATATCAAATAATAACACCTATGTGTGAATCGTGTTTTGTTGTTAGTTAGATTTTATTTTTAAATAAAAAATGTTAATGTTAAAATTTTGTACAAGAGAAAAAAAAAAAGAAGCAAAGAAGTGAAAACACGTCCTTCAATAATTTCATGGGGAAGCTTTCTCTGTGTATTAATTATTCCATATTCTACTATATTAGAAGTGCGAGTGCACTAGGTGAAGCAGGGCGGTCTTCGCCTAACATGCCTGCTTTACCTAAAATATATTTGTCACTCCTTTTGTATATTATTACTCTAATTGCCATCACAAAGTTTTGTAAATATTTGAAACTTCTTAGGCACCCATATTGTCAGCCCCATTTGTGTTGTATTTCCCTGAATGTTTGCTTTATAAAAAATATCTTTGCCCCTACTTTTATATATTATTACTTCAATTGATATCGTACATTTTAGTAAATAAAGAAAACATTTGAGCCATTTTTATGGCCAAAATTGTTAGCCCCAATTGTGTTGTATGTAGAGATTTTACTCCACGTGAAACCAAACGTTTGCTCCGTATTTTTGAAGCTAAGCTTAAACAAAAACAAGAATAGAAAGATCCTTAAACTTTGTTTGAAATGAAAAAGCAATGCTAAGAACCTGGTGGTAACCATTGAAAGACTTATTAATACTTTACCATTGTTTTTACTCTTCACTCATTAGTTCTTAATTATAACATCAAGCAAAATTAATAAAAAGGGAAAAAGATGATTCATTCTTAATTTAGTATGCTTCTATACTTTGTCGTATCAACTTTTGTATACTCAAACTTAAAAATATAGTCATCTATTAGTTCCTAATTAGTGTTATTTGTCAAAGCTTTTGATAGAGTTGTGATACTAAAGCAACTGAGCTACACAAATGATTTTTTAGAATGATCATGTCCAAATGGTTTCACTACCTAGCAATAAAATGATGAATTGGGTCATTATTGATTTCTTTCAACTTTGAACATACTCAAAATATTTGATGAATGACTTAATGTAAGTTATTAATTTTAATATAAAAATAATATCTCCTCGAACTGTATCTTACACTCACTTATTATTTATAACTATCTTTAATATCATACTCGAAATTTAGATATAATAACTTTATCTAAAAGTTTAGCTAAAATTATTGAATCGCAAAATGATATGTAGCGTTCAATCTAGAGAAAATTGACACGAATATTTCAAATAGTACTTATTCATCAGCAAATATAGACAAAGCACACCTAAGCAGCTAAATATTTTGCGACGTTTTCCTTGATGTTTGAGAACATTGATTAAAAGTTAGTAATATTTTTTTACACGATATGTTCTATGAAAACACTTAAAATAGTATAATATTAGAATTTTCTTATTTTCATCACAATTTTAATTACAATGTTGGGCCGTGTGCACCACGGCCTTTATTGCTCCTAGTCAAAGAGACGGTAGAGTTGGAATATCTGGTCTTAGATTATTCCCCCTCTTTTATCTTATCCTGAGCCTTTCCATACCAGAGAAGAAGAAAAAATAACCAAATCTTTCGTTTTTTTAAGAATTTATTTAAGTATATAATATGAGTCGATATTAATGGAGTCAAGTGGATAAGATATTCAACTGCCAAAGTGATGACATGTAAGTTCATTTCTTTTGTTTCATTCACGCCGTTTTCCTCCCCTTTTCTTCTCCCCTAGCAGAAAGATATATATAGCAATCTGACATGACATGATTCGTAGTAGAACAATTATTTTAGCTGATTTCATGTATGGTATGTTGTTTTTTGAGAAAAATGAGGATAGTGATTTAAATTCATTGAAGTTCTTTTGGTTAGAGAATATAAGGAAAGACAATAATTGATCAGCTAAGTGTATATATTTTCAAGAATTAAATGGAATAAAGTTTATCATCATTATCATTTGTCAAAAATATTTACACAGTAGAAAGGTGATAAAAATTCAAATATAGTCAAAACTTATATGCTCACAACCATCAAATCAAAAAATGCAAAATATGTATTCTGTTATAAGAGAAATCAAATTATGTTGGATGTCTACTCTTCCTCCATGATCTTCTCAAATACTTAATGACATATTCAATGACATATTTCTATGCTTAATGACATATTCAATGACATATTTTTATTCACTTTTCATGTCTATATAAAGGCCTTGTAATAGATAGGAAAAACACACAATTGAAGAAGAAATAAGAATCTCTCTTCTTCTCTTTCTCTCTATATCTCTTAGCTTGTTTTTTCTTGTTCGATATTGTTATTTTGAGTTATATTTATAACATGTTATCAGCACGATTGTCACCTTCATTTTTACAATCAGATCCTAATTGTGTTCGATTCTCCTTCAGGTATGTCACTATATATTCTTTTAGTTTATGGTAATATATATGCACCAATATGCTATTTATTAACAAATTCATATACTGTTAAGCATTTATTTTAGTTGATCATGTTACTGAAGTTCTCTTACCTTGCTTATTGTTAAAGAAAATATAAGATATAGATCTTAAGTGCGTTAAACTAACAAAAAATAATTTAATAAATATGTATGGACTTGCGTAGAGCAAAACTTATCTTCAAGACATTCTACAAAAATAAAATAGTGATAACCAAGATGACAAAGTAATTATTGTACATACTAGTTTAAATTACTTTACAATTGGTGAAAAGTAATATTTGAATACATTCACTCTTATCACCGTATATGGTTATTCCTCAAATCCACGTTTATAATAAATTGCTTTTCTTTTACCATACTAAATATATCTCTTTGTGTTTATTCATATACTCCATTATTCTTGTTTATTTGACATATATATATTATATGTTACTTTTTATACTACATGTTTGAAGTGATCAACTTCTTAATTAGTTGTCTGATTTATTTTTACAAGTATATTTTCATTGAAAATTATTTTTATTTGTTCTAACCCATTTACTTTTATGATTAGTTTCAATATGTCAAACTTGTCAAAGCTTGAATTTGTGGCACTAGACATTACCGGGAAGAATTATTTATCATGGGTCCTTGATACTGAAATTCATCTTGACGCTAAAGGTCTTGGAAATACTATTATACAAGAAAATGAAGTATCAAATCAGGATAAAACGAAGGTCATGATTTTCCTTCGTCATCATCTACATGAAGGGTTAAAAACTGAATATTTAACTGTAAAAGATCCACTTGAGTTATGGATTAATTTGAAGGATCGATATGACCACCTAAAACTTACGGTATTACCGAAAGCTCGGTATGAATGGATACATTTAAGGTTGCAAGACTTTAAAACCGTAAGTGAGTATAATTCGGCTATCTTTAAAGTAAGTTCTCTATTAAAATTATGTGGAGACACTATCACAGATGAGGACTTATTAGAAAAAATATTTT